CGTCTTAGGCCAGAGCGGACAGGGATAAGGCCTCGTCGCCATTTCGTGCAGGTGTCCCTAGCCTATTCAACCCCCCCCCCATCTTTCCCGACGGAAGCAGGTGAGCCGAGACCTAGATTCTGCATCTCGGCTAATCCCAGACCTCGTTTTGGGGAAGTCAGATGAACCCTGACTTAAGGATGTGTCGACGCGGGCCAAGTAGGGCGGGGGACCCTTTTCCTGCTTCCTGGGGCGCCTCCTGATGTCTCCTTGTCACGACAGCAGCAGCAGCAGGAGGAGGAGGAGGCTGGATGATAACGAGGAAGAGATAAACTAGAGAGGGAGAGGAGGAGGAGTAGGACAGGACGATAACGAGAAGGAGATAAACTAGAGAGGGAGAGGAAGAGGAGGAGGAGGCAGGACGATAACGAAGAGGAGATAAACAAGAGAGGGAGAGGAGGAGGGGGATGCAGGACGATAACGAAGAGGAGATAAACAAGAGAGGGAGAGGAGGAGGGGGATGCAGGACGCTAACGAAGAGATAAACAAGAGAGGGAGAAGAAGAGGAGGAAAAGGAAACCGGAGAAAACAGGGAAAGGTTTGCGAATACAAGATACAGAGAGAAAGTAAGTGAAAGAGCATTTTTAGAGATATGTTTGGGAGAATAGAAGGAAAGAATAGGCTTCCATAACAGCGTTCTAGATCTAATTCGTTTGTGTATAAACTAACGACGAGAACAATAAAATTTCGCATTAGTATTTCGTCCGACTCGGTAATTCCAACGAAAACATAACGAAGTCAAAAAATGAATAAATAAAAGAAAGCGGGCAAGAAAAAGAAAACGGAAAGGACAGAAAAAAGGAGAAAGAAAACGGAAGAAAAGGAAATAAAAAGAAAAGAGAAAACGCAGACTTCAAAACAAACAAGCATGAAGATTGATCACAAACCCCAAGGGAGAGAGAGAGAGAGAGAGAGAGAGAGAGAGAGAGAGAGAGAGAGAAGAGAGGAGAAGAGAGAGAGAGAGAGAGGAGAGAGAGAGAGAGAGAGACGAGAGAGAGAGAGAGAGAGAGAGACAGAGACATGCTAAAGACGGCTATCGATCTGTCTCGAGGTGTTTGTGAAGTGGGTGTAAAAACTTGCAGGCGACGGGGAGGGAGAAGGATCTTTTGCGCGACGGAATTAGCACTTGCGGTCGACATTTCGGAGGTCATAAAGTCTGCCCTTGAACCGCACCACTTGATAGGCGGTGTTGCAAGTCATCTCGGTCCTTTTGTAACGAGATGAGACCGGCGAATGACACCCGAAGTCTAGCGCAATATTGGGTCCTTCTTTATTTATTTTTTTCTTTCTTTTTCTTCTTTCTCCTTCTTCTCTCTAGCTTTTTTCTGTTGTCTCTCCCTTTCGTTTGTTTCCCTCCACTTTTCTCTCAGATTTGTTGCGTGCGGTTTGGTTTTGCTGCCTTCCTCTTCTTTTTTCCTTCCTGTTTTCATTTCTTGTCACTGTGTTCTCCTTTCCATCTCTTTCACCTCCTCGTTTCTTCCTTCACTTCCTTCTCTTTTCCTCGCCACCCCAATCTTCTTCCTCGTCCACTTCATCCTCACCTCCCCATCCTCTTCTCCTCCTTTCACCCCCCTTGCTCCCCCCCCCTCTGCTCTTCTCCTCTTTCTTCCTCCTCCTCCTCCTTCCTCCATCCTTCCTCTTAACTCCTCCCCTCCTCCTTTTTCCTGTTCCCTCCCCTCATTCCCCTCCCTCTCCCCCTTCCTCCTCCTCCTCTTCCTACTCCTCCCCTCCCCTCCTTTCCTCTTCTTCTCCTCCCCTCCCTCTCCTCCTCACCCTCCTCCTTTCCTGCCAAGTAGGGCGAGTCTCCTCCTCGTTTCCTGTGCTGTCTGCTGGACGCACCCACGCGAAGCTGGTCAATTTTTCTTCTCCATTTTTTCCTCTTCGTTTCATCTTCCTCTAACTTATTCCATTCATAAACTAATCCATATTTTTTTCGATTCATATATCCACGTATCCGTATCTAATCACAAAACCTTAAAAATCCTCCTAAACAGGCCGTGTCCTTTAAAAAAAAAAAAAAATGAAAATCACAAAGCGCACAGGACAGTCTTCTTCGTCGTCCACGCGCCACCGCCGCGGGTCCATCGGCCGCCCGACACCTGCCTACCCGCCGCGCCGTCCATGAGCGGCGCCGCGTGGCCAATTAAACATTAAGCTTATTCATCGCCGTGTCCCAGTGGCGTCGAGGACTGATGGCCGCCTTGTCACTCGTCAAGGAGCTATTCACTTATGCGTCGGCCTTTTGACAGCTGTGTGTTGTGGCGGAGGGTCGGTTCGGGTGATGGGGGTTGTCTGTTCTCCCTCTCTCTCTCTCTCTCTTTTCTTCTCTCTCTTCTCTCTTCTCTCTCTCTCTCTCCTCCTCTCTCTCTCTCTCTCTCTCTCTCTCTCTCTCTCTCTCTCTTCTCTCTCTCTCTCTCTCTCTCTCTCTCTAAAGTGTTGTGTAGTTTGAGTGGTATTGTGGAGATGTTTATTATTTGTCCTTTTGTTACTGTCGTTATTGTTATTATTTTTATGATTGATGTTATTATTACTGTGATTATCATTGTTATCGGTTTATTATTGTTTTTATTATTATTCATATATATGATATATTGTCGTTTATTATCATCATCATTACTTACTACTTTGTTGTGTTATTATCAGTATATTACTAAATGTTTATCTGAAGAACTGAAAGCAATGTTCTCATAACACAGAAAAATAAAATATAAAAAAAATCACTTTAAAACCCTCTCGCCTGATCTTTTGAAGAAATTTCTAAGACCCGCTTGAGTATGCCAGTGATGCCTCTCTTTCTTCTCCTCTCTTGGCAATCACTAGCGCTGACGGGGAACGACTCAGTCAGCCCTCATTAAGGGAAATCCTGCTCTCTCATCCTCCGAAGATCTTCCGTGTGTGTGTGTGTGTCGGTGTGTGGGGACGTGTGGTGTGTTGTGTGTGTGGAATGTGAAATGTGATGTGTGTGTGGGGGGGGGTGTGTTTGGGGCGGTGTGTGTGCGTGTGTGTGTGTGTGTGTGTGTGTGTTGTGGTGTGGGTGTGTGTGTTTAACAGTCACGATCGCAAGCTCGACCTGTGATTAAATCCCTGATGGAGCTTTCCTTTCGCTGACGTCTTCCGCGGATCGGAAATGTAATCATGGATCAGTCATTGTGTGTTTGTTTGTTTGTTTGTTTTGTTTTTATGAGTATGTCTGTTTCTGTCTTTTATTCTCTTTCCTCTCGGTCTTTCTTTCCGTTTCTATTCAGTCTCTGTTTTTTTCTGTTTTTGTTCTGTTTTTCAATTTCTTCCTCTCTCTCTCTCTTCTCTCTCTCTCTCTCTCTCTCTCTCTCTCTCTCTCTCTCTCTCTCTCTCTCTCTCTCTTCTCTCTCTCTCTCTCTCTCTCTCTTCTCTCTCACCCTCCCTCTCTTCTCTTCCCCCTCCCCCCCTCTCTCTCTCCCTCCTTCCTCCCCCATCTTCACTCTTCTCTCCCTCTCCTCCCCTTCCTCCTCTTCCCCTCCTTCCATCACTCCCTCTTCTCTCTCGAAATTATTTGGAAATCGGGATTCATAAGGCACCTTTTCTGGGGCGTCTCTCGGTGACGTCCGCGGGGAGCTTCCGATCGTATCGTGGGACTTGGACTTTCTCCTCCTTGAAGGATCGGTGTCTTTTCTTCCTTGGGTTTTGTATTATTATTTATTTATTTTTTTTTTTAGAGAGATTGTTTACGTTGGGTCGGCGGTTTTCTTCCTTGGATTTTTTTTTTTTTTTTTTTTAGAGAGATTATTGATGGATTGATTGATTGATTGACAATGTTATTGTTTCCACTCTGGTTTTAGGTCAGCTGGACGTGTTGAGTGTGTGGATTTGCTGACGAAAATTAGGTATGTTGAAGGAAATGGTATACTTTGCTAGTTAGAGAACGGAACGTGTAGTTTTAGCTTAATAAGCACTTGCTGACCTGTTTGTGTGAGTTCTTCCCTCCATACATTTAAACTTAGGACTCGGAGGGGGCTAAGGTCCCCTATGCTTCTTTTTTAGGAGAAGAGATAGTCAGTTTTCCCAAGCTGACACATACTCACCAGGAAGTGTCAGCAGCCAAGATGAGGGCTGATGGCACCCCGCGCGTAAGTGTCACGGTATCATTCCCTCTAAGCAAACCCAGTGGACGGGGAGGGGGGAGGGGGGGGTTCTCCTTGGACACTACGAGGGGGGGAGGGTTCTCCTTGACACTACGATCAGGAGCAGGGCGATGGGGGTCACCCTCCCAATCCCACCTTCAACCTAACTCCTTATAAGGGAATAAACGATTCATATGGTTTTCCCCGTACGCGACCCCCTCCGCCCTACTTCGGGATGAGGTCAAGTGTTTGAGTATTTTAATGACACCGAATGAGCTGTGACGTCATGACACCATCTCCCGCCCCAATCATGACGTCACGAATAGCCCGCGTCTCCCTCCCTGAATCGAGCCCACGTCGGTGTCCGCATTTGGCGATGGCCTTTTTAGGAAGGAAGGCGATTAAAACCCCCAAGACGATTAAAATAGATGTCCGGCAATTAAGAAAAAATAATAACAGCTCAAGGTCGTAAGGTTTAGTCTCGTTCTTCATGTGATTCGTTTCGTCTTGGGTTTGTTTTTAATTAATTTTCGGGCAGTTTAGAGATATCATTCGGGGTGATTCTGCTACGAGAATCACGGGCCTTTATTATGGTTATTATTCTTTTATTGTCTTTGATGCAACTTTTTTATTTTTATTGCGGTGGGGGATATTGATGCTACTGTCACTGCTATCTTAATCGCTGTTTCGTGTGATTGTATTTGAGAGAGAGCGAAATAAGCGCGAGAGAGAGAAAGAGAGGGAGAGAGAGAGAGAGAAAGAAAGAAAGAGAGGGAGAGGAGGAGAGAGAGAGAGTAAGAGAGAGGAAATGAGAGAGACACAGACAGACATAGATCAAGGGTTAAAGCCCTACTGATTCCCTTCTTCGTTGCAGACCCGGCATGTTGGAGTGACTCCGCGTCCCCGCCTCAGGGCAACGAGGAGGTCGTCGGTTCGCAGGCGACGCAGCCTTGGCCAGCGCTCTCCCTCCCCGCGCCGGGACGCCTTCGAGGAGGCCATGCGAGCAGCCGCCGCGCCGCACTCCAGTCCCAGAACTCCGGGGGAGGACTCCGCGCCGACCGACATGGCAGGCGGACGGATAGGCCTACGCCCATCCTGCTCCGCGCGGCCTACCGGGTCCGGGCGACGGGACGGGCTCAGTGGCGAGTGCGCGGGGGCCGAGAGGGACTCGCGGCTCTCCGTCAGGACCTCGCAGGGGGAGCGCGAAGGGGCCGTGACCTGTGATGAAAGGGGACCTGAAAGCACGAGAACAGTGATGGGGGGCGGGAGAAGGGGGTGTGCCTGTGCCTCGGAAAGCAGCCGAACGAGCAGTGTGTGGACTTGGGCGTCGCGGAAGCAGATGCAGGGCGCCCTGCTGATGACCTGCTTGTACCTCCTGCTGGTGGCGGCCGGAGCAGCTGCACAGGGTAAGTACAAGTTCATTTTTTCAAGCAGAAGATGAAACATTCTCTGCATTTCTTTTAAGTGATGCCTATTTACTTCGTCGTCGTTAGAAGGACCTCTGCAGTGTCAGTGTGACGACCGTCTGACGCCTGCTTCCTCTTTCCCCCTTGATTCTGCCTCATTATCCCGGAGGAGGCGCGGAAGGGGGGCGGAGGGCGCGGCGGGTCAGCGTTGACACGGCGGGGGCGTGGGAAGTCGCGGCGGAACAGCTTGGTAAAACATCCACTTTATGGCTTCTTCGCTTCCTTCCTTGCAAGCATTGTCTCGGTCCGGGCGGGGTTCGCACGGGCGGGCGGGCGGCGGGGAAGAGGCGGAGGAGCGGAGACGGAGTGAGGGTGAACGGGAACACAAGCGCGCATAAACAGGCACGCACGCACACGTTGATACACACACGGGCACACTGATACACACACATACACTGATACACACACACAACACACACACACACAAATATATATATACATATATATCCATAATATGCCTGATATATATATATATATATATATATATATATATATATATATATATATATATATATATATATATATATATATACATATATATATATATATATATATATATATATTATACATATACATATTATATATCCATATATCCATATATCCATATACACACAAGTATGCGCTTACACTCAAATTCTCTCACACTCCCTCACACTTCCCCTCCCTCACTCCCTCACTCCAGACCCGCTCGCCACTCCGCCCTCCAACTCGGGTCGCGGGGAAACTGCATTGTTGCCGCCCGTTCAGGAAGCTGCGTCGGGGTCAGTGCAATGTTGGGTTGGTGAGAGCTTGGCTTTTTGTTACGCTCCGGCTTGCTTCTCCGGTGGGTTGGGTGGGAGGGGGGTATTCAAGTTGTGTTTGTCGGTCTGTGCCTTTCTATTTTTTTTTTTTTTTTTTATTATCGTTTTTTTCTCTTGTTCTTTATTTCTTATTTGGTCTTTCTGTTTTTTCTCTATTTTCTTTTTTTCTTTTTCTTTTTGTCTCTCTCTCTCTTTCCTCCTCATCCCTCTTCCTCTCCCACTCCCTCCTACCTCCCTCCCTCCCTCAACCTCCCTTCCTCCCTCCCACCCTCTCCAGCCTTCCTCCCTTCCCTCCCTCCCACCCCTCAACCTCCCTCCCCTCCTCCGCCCTCCCGCCACCCCGCCCACAGGAGAGGTCGCGTGCAGCGTAATCCCGCATCTGGTCGAATCTCGCCGCCCGCCGTAATGGAGAGGCAGGATCGGCTGACCTTCCTCTCGTCTTTCCACTCCGCCGTAACAGCTTTTGGAGGATTTTTGGACCTGGCTTGTAATATATGTGCGCTTAGGATGTGTGTTGTGTGTATGCTCGCTTTTTTTTTTTTTTTCTTTTTTTTATTTAATATTATATTTATTTTTTTCTTTTTTCTATTCTCTTTTTCTTTCTTTTCTCTTTTTTTTGTTTTATTTTTTTTTTTTTTTTCTTTTTTTTTTTTTTTTTTTTTTTTTTTTTTTTTTTTCTTTGCGATCAGACGCATGAATTTTTGAATTTCTCAGAAAGCTTGATTTGTAGTTTGTACCATTTTTGACGTGCATGCTACTGACCATTCACTTTTTCGTCTAATCCGTTGATTCATATTGTGTGCGGTAGATTTACTGGCGATAAAATAAAGTTTTTTTTTTCTCTAATAATGATTAAATTCACTTTGCAGTAAGCTTTTTGGATGTTCTCTCTCCTCTGTTCTCCTTCTCCTCTCCTTTCTTTCTCTCTCTCTCTCTCTCTTCTCTCTCTCTCTCTCTCTCTCTCTCTCTCTCTCTCTCTCTCTCTCTCTCTCTCTCTCTCTCTCTCTCTCTCTCTCTCTCTCTCTCCTCTCATCTCGTCTCTCTATCCTATCTAATCTCTCTATCTTTCCCTATCCTCTCCTTCCTCTCTCACCGTTC